GCAAAAGTAAAGATACGTATTTCGTGGAAACCACTTAGAATGAAGATACGTGAAGTCAAAAACCAACTCCAAACACAAAGAGTGAGATTACGCCAACAAAGTGACAAACGGGGAAAAGACAAAATAGGGAAAAAAACAAAACAGGGAAAAGGACAAAAAGTGAATAGTGTCGAAAAACGAAAAATGTGAAAATGACTCGGTCCTCAAAGGAAATTGTCAATTCAAAGGAAAGAGTCTCAAAAACCATTTCCGAGCACTCGAGACGACGCTAAGCGACGAGAAACTGAACTCAAAAGGAAATTTCAACGAAAAAAATTTATCCGTAAAATTCTGAGGAAAAAGAAAAGGAAGGAAATGACTGGGTCATTACACAAATGATGCATTATCGCAAAAGATTGAGTTATTGTGACAAATATAGCTTTGTCACAATTGATGGTATTTTAATGACAAAAATTGTTGTCACTACAAACAACCTTCGAGTGACAAATAATGCATTGTCGCAACAGAGTGAGTTATTGTGACAAAACTCTTTGTCACAATTAATAGACTTTTAGTGACAACATATTGTCACTAATTATTATCATTTAGCGACGATGAATTTTTGTCCCAAAAAACTACACTCTAGTGAACAAAATTGTCTTTGTCGCCATTGATAGATTTTTAGTGACAAATTATTTATCGCCAAATTCTATCTTTTAGCGACAAAAGATATTTCGTAACAAAAGAGTAAATTCTTGTCACAAATTGACCTTTTGTCACTATATACTTGTTTGGGAAATAATAAGAAAAATTAAAACTTACCATAAGGTATGTTTTTAATATATAAAAATATGTGTATTTATATAAATATATGGTAAGGTGCAAAAAAACTCCCTGAATTATGTTTGAATTTACAAATAACCCCCTTAAATTATATTTTGTGCCTAATACCACAAATTACCAAAAATGCCCCAATGTTCTAATAATAAGTTAATCATTTTATAAAATGGTAGTTATAATTTTTTTTAATGATAAATTAATTCTAATAATAAAGTTAAGGGATAATTTGTATAATTCATATTTAAATTTAAATAAGAGAATATATATATATATATATATATATATATATATAATACAATTTGTTCAAGGTTTGAGGTCCTTTAAGATCAAACTCGACCAAATCAAACCGTTAAGTTATATATATGTATATGTATCAAATTATACATATAATATGGAGTAATATAATTCTATAGTGGCTAAATATTGTTGGTTAATTTTCTGAACGAAGATGTTAATATACCCATCTCAATTAGCAATATACGCCTACATCCTAACCACTGATCCTGAGATCTCAAGCTCATATCGTGGCTTATATCCATATATATATATAATCCATATCCTATCCATAACAATAAAATTAAACTATTTGCCATAATCTTTCAATGGTATGTCATCTACATAGTTCAATGACCTAACATGAAGAGATGAGACTAAGCTTATTAACCAGCGCATCCACATAATCCAAAATAAAACCATATCCTAGTAATGGAATACATGGAACCAAATCTTGGTAAATTTATGTTATTTTGGACAAATGGTGAGTTAAATGAATTGTGAATTGGATGACAATTTTTATTAGGAATTTCTTAATTAGGTGAATTTTTTTAAATGTTAGATTTAGAATTAAAAATAATTTATTTATTTTCTATAGTTATAATATAGATATACAAATTCATATAGTTATATCAAGTTATTTATATGTTAAAATTTTATTATGAATTAAATATTTGCAAAAAAAATTTAAAAAATTGTGAAGATATAATTAAAAGTTGAGACTTCATTCCGGCAATGACCCCCTCCCTCAATTTTTTTACAAATGACTTTTTTTTTTTTTTTTAATCTATTTATGGTTACCTTATGGCTGCAAATAAAATTAATTATTACTCTTCAAAGTTGAATAAACCTCTTACTGCAACATACTTTATACACATATATATATACACACACGCACATGCATATATAATTTTTTGTTATGAATTAGGGAGAAGAAAAAAATGCAATTTGAAACTTGTAACAAAAAGCCTTAAAAAAAATTTGCAATTTTTTTGTAAATCTTTTTATATTAATTAATAAATATTTTTTAACATTAATAAATAAATACTAAAATATTTTAAAATTGGTGGTAGAGTTTGAGTTTTGTAAAGTAAAAAATTCTTTCAGGTTTTATATTAATACTGAAATATTTACATTTTATTTTTTTATTTATTAAGAAATAGTTTTTTATTTTAGTACTGAAATTGGTGGTAGATTTTGAGTTTTGCAAAGTAATAGATTCTTTAAGGTAATTTGAATTTTATTAGGTAATATTTACACACACACACACACACACACATATATATATATAGAATAGTATAGATTTGAATTTTATTAGGTAATTTGTAATTTTAATTTTATTAGATAATTTGAAATTTATATAATTTTAAATTTACAATAGAAATTCCATTATATTAATTTTTAATTAAATTTTAAAATAGAAATTCAATTATACTAATCATGCATTAAATTGAAATTGATATAAAAATTTATTATATGGAGTTTGTGGTTTTTTGAAAAACCCTAGGTTATATTTTATTTTATTTAAATATATCATTGTCTAATGTGATAGAGTTTATAGAGAAAAAAAATATGTAATTCATGGTAGAGTTTTATAGAAATTATTTTATTTTATTTAAATATATCTTTGTCTAATTATATATTTTTATTTATTAAAATACTCATAATAAATAGATAAATCCAGAGGTTATATGTGATAGAGTTATCTTTTTGTATTAATTAATAATTTTTTATATTAAAAAATAAATACCGAAATGTAAAAACTCTTTACACTTTTATTATTGATTTATATGTATTATTATATTATTATATATTTTCTTTAAATATATCCTTGTCGACTGTGATTGACTTTTATAGAAAATAAAATAGGTAATTTGTGTTAGAGTTTATTGAAATTATTTTATTTTCTTTAAATATATCCTTGTCTAATTAATTTTTTTTTATTATTAAAAAACTCATAATAAATAGATAAATACAGGTTATATATGATAGAGTTTTAAATAAAATAAAATGGGTAATTTGTGTTAGGGTTTTATAGAAACTCTTTAAATATATCATTTTCTAATGTGATAGAGTTTTATTGAAAATAAAATAAGTAATTTGTGATAAAATTTTATAGAAATTATTTATTTTCTTTAAATATGTCCTTGTATAATTAGATTTTTATTTATTAAAAAAACTCATAGGTAATTTGTGGTAGAGTTTTAGAAATTTTATTTTATTTTTTATATCAATTAATAAATATTTTTTATATTAATAATTCTTGTTTAATTAGATTTTATTTTATTTAAAAACTCATAATAAATAGATAAATATGTAATGTGTGTTAGAGTTTTATATAAACTCTTTTAAAAAATTATTTTATTTTCTTTAAATATATTCTTACCTAATTAGATTTCCTTTTATTAAAAAAAACTCATAATAAAAGGTAATTTGTGTTGAGTTTAAGAAAAATTATTTTATTTGTTCTATCAAATATTTAAAAAAATTTATACTAATAATTCTTGTCTAATTACCAATTTAATTTTAATTGGTAATTTATTTAATGATTTGAAACATCTTAATTGAATTTCAATTAAACAATTACCTATTAAATTTTAATTGATAATTTATTTTATTGTTTGATAAATTATTTTATTAAATAATTACCTATTTTATTTTAATAGGTAACTTGTTTATTTTAATTGATAACTTATATGATTTATTTTAAATGTAACTTATTTTATTATTTGGTAAATTCTTTTATTATCTTGTCTATAAATCATTTGGTACACTTTTTTCCTCTTGTAGATTTTGTAGTTTGCAGTTACAGGGACAGAGAGAGAGAGCAACTTCAGAGTTAAGAACGAGAATAGAAATGGAGGCGATTGCAGAGGCTGAAGAGATGCCTAGGGTTTGTAATGTCGTATATGTTGGTAAAGTTAGAGAAACAAAAATTGTAAATTTTGTCGCCAAAGACTAAATTAAATATTAAGCCGTGGTGGTGGATTATTTCCTTTGAGATTTTTTCTATTATTTGATCACAAATTATTTAGTCTTATTTATTTATTTATTTATTTTTAGTTCATTATTCAAAAATCATCAAATTGTTTTGAATCTATGTTCGGAATCTAATTTGAGAGTAGTTCGACCTTACTTATCACTATATAATATTTAATTTAGTCTTTGTAGGTTTTTCTTTGTTTTGGCACAAAGTGTCTATAAATATATAAAATCTCTCATTTCTTCAAGCCAAGCAAACTCACCCTGGCAATCTTTTACAAAACACGATCCCATGGAGGAGGAAGGAGAAATCCCCGCATATAAACATGTCAGCAGTTTTTTCGTTGTCATAGATGCCTGCTGGCATTGTCCGAGGCATTTTATAGTCTGAACACCAGCCTATCCCTTTTTCCGATGGCTGATTCTCAAGCGATTGTGTGCATATCTCATGAATACTTGAAGTATTGAGACATAATCCATAAATCTACATTCGTCACTCTACCACAAATTAATTACTACCCTAACACAAATTACCTATTTATCAATTTATTAGACAAGAATATATTTAAAGAAAATAAAATAGTTTCTATAAAACTCTACAACAAGTTACCTATTTATATAAAACTTTACCACAAATTATCTATTTTATTTTCTATAAAACTCTATCACATATCATTAGTATTTATCTATTTATTATGAATTTTTTAATAAAAGAAAATTAATTAGACAAGGACATATTTAAAGAAAATAAAATAATTTCTATAAAATTTTATCTATTTATTAGATAAGGATATATTTAAAGAAAATAATATGATTTTTATACTAATTAGCATGGTATTTGCTAGCGTTTTCTAAAAGAGCACTGGTAAGTGTGAAATTTAGTGCAGTTTATTTCGTTAATTTTTCATTTTTTTTCTAACTTTATCTCATCCGAGCCCTAGGTTTCTCTTCAGCCTCCCCATTCACCTCCATCTCTATTCTCGATCTCAACTCTGAACTTGCCCCCATTCTCTCTCTGCAACTCCCCAATCGCCTCCATCTCTATTCTCATTCTCAACCCCCCCCCCCCCCCCCCCCTCTCTGTAACTGCTAACTAGAAAATCTACAAGAATCAGAAGTTCAAAACCCATATATTTCAATTTATCTATCTGTCTACAAGAATTAAAAGTTCAAAACCTATTACATAATCAACCCATATCTGATATGCCAGATTGTTCAAAAAATCAAAACCCATATCTTTTTGTTTCTATCGCCCGTTGTTCCAGTTCGGGTTCGCCGTTCACAAGCTTCAACCGCTGTCTCTCAACTCTCAAGCTTGCCCCCCTCTCTCTCTGTGCAACTACTAACTTGTATGTATGGTTTTTTTTTTTTTTTTTAAATCAATTAATCACTGGCTTGTTGTGATGGGAAAACACGAGGAGGACGACACTTCCAAGGACCAGATTATCGATAGTTACATCAAAACCTTAGCTATGGTTGTTGGAAGGTTTGGATTAACATTTTATTTTTTTTTTTGTAATTTTCTTATAATTTAATTAAGGCCGCTCCCCCCTTTGATTGATGAGAGATGTAAAGGAAGTTACAGAAAATTACCCAAGTCAGATTATGATGTTGATTTGTACTCCGCAGTATCGGATGTTGCCGACGCAGACAAATCTGAATATGCCTCCACTTCCTTCCAATATGACGAAAAAGGTTCTTTCAGTTGCAGCAACAAAATCAAAGACCAGTGGGGGTGAGAATTTTGAGTTCCTCAAACTATTTATGTGCTTTAAATTTTGTATTCTGAATTTGTAAAGGAAGTAAAACTTTGGATCATATATATGTGTATGTACATATATTGTTTTGATATGCACAGGAAATTTAGGAAAAATTTTGTTCTGATTTTGAATCTGTAAAACTTTGGATTTCTGCAAAACCCTCTCAAAGTCGAGTCAATAATTGTGTATATAATATTTTCTTTTTTAACATTTTGTGTTAATTTATCATGTTTATTCCTTCAATGTATTAAGGGTTTTTATTCAAAGCCATGCTCTACTATGGTGTTATAATTTCTAAATCAGAAGTTATCAAGTTCTTTTAATAGAAATTTTCTTAGTTTTTGTGCTTGGGAGTGGTTCTTGTATTACCTACAAAATGAGTAGTTCATTTAATTTTCAGGAAGAATTAAAGTCACTTTATTTTTCTATTTGTCAACAGAAAACTATAGCCATCTCAAATTGAACCAAATTCGACAATCTGTTGAAGAAAGCCACACTTCTGTAAATTAGCAGTTTGATGAAGAATTAATGGCCAACTGAGAGTTGATTGTGTATGTGGAAAATTAAAATGTTATGTTTCTTATGCATTGTAATAAAATGTTTTGTTTCTTATGCTGATATGCCTGAGACAGTTATAATGAAATTTTGATTCTTCCGTTGCCGATTGCTGTTATATGTAAAAGCATTTTCTTATCAAGTTTCAGATTTGTTGGTTGTAGTTTTATTTTTTTCCCTTTTCATGTTACAGTTTCTCTGGAGGTGGAGGTTTCAAATTGAGGTCATTACTTAGGAGGGTTTGAACACCAGATCAAGTCCATTAGTGATAAAAGGGATCTGCGTTTTTCTTATAGTGTTTAGAGGTTTCAAGTGTCTCGTGGCTTCTAGGGTACACTAGTACTTTATTCTGCTATCATTTGTTTGAAAGAAGGATGGACCATTAAATTGAATGCGACTAATTTTAAACCTTTGATTGATTTGCTGCACCTTTTTTGCTCTTTTAAGTGTGATCATTGATTACCCCACATATGATTTTTACTAAAATTTGTATGAATACATGAAATGGAACGTAGTTGTGTGAGATTTAATTAATTATTTTGCTTGATCTTTAGTTGATGGTTCATTCATTAGCAACTAGTCATGAACCATTTCTCTACTTCTAGTATCCTTATAAATATTTTAATACATGAAAGGGAACAATTACATCTAATATGATATTCATTTTTCATTATCTTTAGATGATTGTAGTATAATTGTTTGATGGCTTTGTAGTGAAAATGCAATCTAATTGTATATTTGTATTACATAGTTGGTATTCCTGTTAAAATTATATATATTTGTAGGGCAGTTTATAGGACTAGTTCTGAAAACTAGAGTAAATGGGGTACCAACTAGAAGGTATTTATGTGGTTCTGTTTTTGATGGTGTGCAGTGTAATGGAGGAAGTGTTTGTTTTTGGGGAATGAAATATTACCTGGATTTATTACTATTTTTCTTTTTCTGAAGCTATGTTTCCTTTGTCACACCACACCAATGGTGTTGAACAATTTATATTTGAATTTATGTCTTAGGTTTGTTCAAACTGCTTCCGAACTCGTAATCTTAGTTGGTTTATGTTGCTAATTTTTAGATTAGCTTTATTGAAGCTATCATTTTGGTGTTGTGATAGTTTTTGTAAATCAACTCTCTGAACTTTAATGTGCTTCCGTGGGTTGATTTGTTCAGGTGTTAATACACAGAATGGAGAGGAAGTTGCGATTAAGCTGGTATGTTAGCAAACTTATCATGCAATTCAGTATTCATGTTAGAGATGCTATCAATTTCAAATGTAGATTTTTTTTACTTTTTATTTTCTTTCAGGTAACTGATTTTTTTTTTTTTTTTTTTTTTGATAAGTAAAGGTAGAGGTAACTTTCAGGTAAGTAATTTCAAATGTAGATTCCATGGGTAAAAGTTTCCAATGTGGCAGTTATATACTAAACAATAACAAAAAGAACACAAGGCCAATATGATCATTTTAAATTACTTAACATTCATGATTTTTAGTAAATGGATTTGTTTATGCAATTTCCCGGTCAGTGCTCAAAGCAGGTATCCATAAAAGTAAAAAAATGGAAAAAGAAAGAAAAAAAGAAAAGAAAAAAGAAGTGGTTTAATAGGAGACCTTGCCTCAAACCCCAAATATAGTGATGTAACTTTGTTGCATTTTGAGGTAAATGTGTTGCAATAATGCATAGGATCCCTAAACAGAAGGGGATATAGGTTCCCTTAAAGAATAGGAATGTGGTTTCCCTTCACATTAAATTACACTAATCTTATAGGAAATGGATGTTGATTTGTTGATTTAACTGTAAAAAGAATTTTTGTTTCTTGTGACCATGCAATAGAAAAATAATAATAAAAATAAATAAATAAATAAATAAAATAAATAAAAATAAATATTGTAGAGCTTTGTCTTCTTAGGGCCCATTTCCATTTTCTTGTCATTTCCTTTAAAAGAAAAAGGTAAATATAGTGCAATTGGAGAAAAGTGAAGTGCGAATATCAGAGTCCCTTAAAATATACTACTACTTTATTATTACTCTACAATTACAAATAATATAAATATACAAATTTATTTTATTTAAAAATTTATTTAGCCATAAAAATGAATTTGAAACTAGCCAAATTTTTTGGCCCGCCAACTAGCACAGACACGTATCACTCTGTGTTCTCCCACACACACACACACTCTCTCTCTCTCATAGAGACTACCCAATCACTCTCTCAAAATTTATTTCTATTATAATTGATTGGAACTGATTTACCTTCTAACTTTGTGGATTATTTTTTCTCTTCACTCATGACACGTGATAGCCATATTAGATCACCCGTATATTAATTGATTATAAGTTAATAGCTTGTATTAAGGAAATATTGAATTGTCATATATCAATGTTCAATTAATTAGACAACAATGCATTTGTTGCATAATTCTGGAAAATTTGCATCTGTTTCTTCTTTGCTCAGTTCTCTCACCACCAATCCTCGAACTCTAGACCACACAAACCAACTTCTATGCCAAAGAGTCCATGAGTGAATCAGTAATTTGCATCTGTATCATTCTGGATTTCTTCGATTAATATATATTCATGACTTTATTGCTTCAAACTTGAATCCTCTTATGATGCATTGATTAATGTAGAAAAAGTTTACTAAAAATACCTTTGAATTTACTTTTTTTTTTCTAACACAAGATTTTATTGCCAATATATAGGATAAATATATGATAATTTTCGACAACAGGAAGCTGCAATACTTACTATTCCCTCTTCTTCTATAAAGATTCTAAATGCTTCATAATAACTCCAACACATATTATAATAACTCTAATTCTTGCATTATTGACTTGCATAGCAGTTAATTTGGCACAGAATACGTATTAGCAATAAATTTGGTAGCCAAAATTTCTTATATATACTATGCAGTCTCGTTGTTCAACTCTTCATTTGTCTATATGTTATCAAATTAAATACATTATACTAAGTTGTGTGTGTGTGTGTAAATTGCTTGATATAATAAGAAAAGTCAAGTCACTTAATTCTAAAGGAATATCTTGTTCTCATCCAGATATCAAGCTTTCTAAAATACTCTTTAAAAAATTTATTTCAGTCTTAAAATTCTAATCTCAATTTTTTTTCTTCTTATTTATTTTATTTTATTTTGCAGGTTTCACATTGATTGAAATTTTGATATGTGAATGTGATTAATTGTGTAATATTGGATTTGGATATTAGCATTTTAATATGTGCTGGAATTATTATTTTAGATTTTGGATGATTTGTACATTTTAATATCTAAATTCTTAATGGAATGTGTTTTATATTCTATGATTGATTATCAAATATATTAATTTTGAGCAAGATGCTTGGATCTTAGTTTAAATTTTTTAGTTTATTAATATTTTAATTTAAGTTACAGGTTCCAAATAGGTGAAAACAAAATTATATTATTGTATTTGTTGTAGGACATGTTATTTTGTCACAAGAAAATAGCTTATAGTAACAATAATTTTGTCGCAACATGGTAAATATATTATCACAAAAGATTTTGTCGCAATTTGGCACATTTATTGTGACAAAATACTTTGTTACAATAAAATAGCTTATAGTGACAATAATTTTGTCACAATATAGAACATTTATTGTGAGAAAAGATTTTGTCACAATAAAATAGCTTATAGGGACTATTTTTGTCGCAACATGGTATGTTTATTGTGACAAAACATTTTGTCACAATAAAACAGCTTATAACGACAATATTTTTGTCATAACATGGTATATTTATTGCGACCAAAAATTTTGCCACAATAAAACAGCTTATAGCGACAATATTTTTGTGGCAACATGAACTTTTATTGCAACCAAACATTTTGTCACAATAAAACAGCTTATAGCGACAATTTTTGTCACAAAAAAGTACACAAATAGTGACAAAAATTCTTTTCGTCACAAAATAGTGATGAAAAGCGACAAATTTCATAAGTCTTGGAGGGTATAAGGCGACAATTTTTGAATATTTTACGACAAATGTTTTGTCGCAATTTTTACTCATTTTGTGATGAAAAGTTATTTGTCACAATAAATCATACCTCTAGCGACAAATCAAAATTTGTCACGAAAAACATATTGTAACCGGCTTCTAGCGATGACCTGGTAACAAAATTTTTTGTCGCGATAGTTTTTTTGCGACAAAATATGGACTTTTAGCGATATACTCTTTTATCACCAAAGACCAAATTTGTTGTAGTGGGCGGAATCGACTTCACTGCTAGTGGAATCGACACCACGGGTGGTGGTTGTTTCTGAGCTCGTGGAAGGGTTTGTACTTGATATTTTGAGCCACTTCTTTCTACCAAGTAAGGCTTCCGTAATTGCTCTCGTAACTCTCTTTCAAGGCGCAACTATTCACAAAAGTCATCCCATTCAACCATGTTTACCTACAATGCATCTAGTTGAATTTCTAGAGCGGCCCGTGAAAGTTCAATAACCTGTTCCCTAAAAATTTAAGCAAGATCTTGAAAAGATTTGCCGTGTTGTGCAGGTGGCACCTGCACTGTCTGCACCTGTGGCATGGAATGCACAGGCTGATGAGAAGGACTACCCTCAACAAACGTACTTGGCCTATTCATCGGAACGGCTGATTGTTGAGTAGTATTGGGTAGAAAATACTGCTGATTACCTAATTGACCAGCCTGAGTCATACCCTGACAAAACCCAAAATGATGCCAATTGTTAGTAAAAACATCATGACAAACGTGTTGAGGAATTACGACAGGATTCTGCACATGTTGTTCCATTGGAATAGACATCGATTGTTCATATTGCATCTGCCCTGTATGCACCTGCGACATAGCTCGGAAATATTGTTCACATTCTTCGGCCACCCTTCGGTAGTACTCTTCATGTTCAAAGCTCAAATATGCCATAAGAAAAATCTTTTCCCAGTTGTCCCACTGGGCATGCCACTATGTTTGGCTTGAAAAAAGATGATGTCGGTTCTGATGGAATCGGATGGGCGTGCCAGGAACTGCAGTAGCTCCAAAGAGAGATCCAAACAATATTCCAGAAGGAAGACTGCTGGACCAGGCGATTGTGATAAGGTCCGGAATAAACACCTCAGGGTTCTTTTTGCCTTTGATAAAGGACTTTGGGATAGTTAACTGGCTAGGAAGAACTAAGAAAGTAATTGGAAAGACTGTAAAATTATCTAATGAAAAGTAAAGTGCAGGACTAAGACTAATTATATTGAAAATGCATTGCAATGTAAAGTAAAATTGTATTGAAATGTTGTATTTGGCGTTGAGCAGGCCTTCTAAGTTACAATATCATGCCCTATTTATAGAATTTAGTAATGGTAGCTTGCATATAACCGCTTGGTTCCTAAGCTTCCATGTGTCCCATGACTTTGTATGTAACCGCTTGCTTCCTTGGCTGCCATGTGCCCCAAAAATTTCCACTGGAACGTCGTAGTACCTTTTTATTAGACCGACCAGCTTCTTAGGCTGCCATGTGTCCCATGACTTTGTATGTAACCGCTTGCAATCGTTCACTTCCTAGGATGTGTCACATGACTTTGCATCTAACCACTTACTTGCTAGGCTGCCATGTGTCCCATGACTTTGCATGTAACCGCTTATAACCGCTTACTTCCTTAGCTGCCATGTGTCCTAAGACTTTCCACTGGAACGTCGTAGTACCTTTCCATTGGACTAACCAGCTTCTTAGGCTGCCATGTGTCCCAAGTGATACCCCCAGATTTCCGAATGCGGGTTGGCCAGGCCCACGCACGAATACCCGAGGATATCAAAACAAATTGATAATAAATGAACATAGAGTACAAAAGAATAAAGAAGAATAAATAAAATGCTGACAAGAAACTAAAATGATAATCTAATAATAAACTTCAGAATATATTTCCATTAATTAATAAACTCTTCTGATACAACTGATCCTCCAAAATACAACTCGGGAATCCATACTGTGTGGACCCCTAGAAAATTAAACTAAACAAATGACAATAATAACTGTCTAAATCAGGAAACTGAATCATAAAGGAACTCCTATGTAGCAACGGAAGAATGCAGTAGACTGATCTCCGCTCAGCACGAACAACCTCTATTCCTGACGAACACCTGAAAAATAATGGTGGGTCAGGCCCACAAACAAGTTCTCCACTACTACAGTCCAAACAGAAATCCGATACACGTATACATCTTAGTCAATCCAACAGTAACTAGTAGTCCGTATATATATATATATATATATATATATACACACTAAAGTAACCTCACTAAACTATAGGGTTGTCTTAACCTGAATAGTAGGCAACATGCAAAACGCACATATAGTGGGCATGGGTACCTAGACCTACCAGGGTACACAACTACACAATATCTAACTACACATCCCTGGCGATATACGCACCCTAACCACTGATCCTGAGACTTAAGCTCATATCATGGCACCATACTTATATATATATAATCTAGTAACCATCCTATTCAGTATAAGTTAATCCTCCATAAGTCATTCAACTTGTTCAGCTGACCTGACTTGAATATAAATAGGACTTAACATTTTAGTTAATCCATTCCCTTATATAATAAATTAATCCTCCATAAGTCATTCAACTTGTTCAGCTGACCTGACTTAAATATAAGTAGGACTTAACATTTTAGTTAATTCATTCCCTTATATAAAATAGGTAGGACTTAACTGATAAGTTAATCCATCTATAGAATGCCACCGTCCCATACCGGTGCATTAAACCACACAATCTAACAATTGATGTAACAATTAAGGAAATATATCAAGCATTCCATAAATAACTATGATAAATATGATATCAAGTTATCACATAATAAGAATGACTTATTATTTCTTTAAACTTCCTATATCATATGTCCTATACATGATGATATTTTATTATACCGTTAAATAAGGATTCTCCATATCCAATTCATCCTACACATTTAATCTCAATTGTTAAAATATTTTAAAAGATTAAATCCATTCGTTTATTTAAAACATTCAAATAGCAAGCATCATTATGATTGAGTCTATTTAAATTTATTAAAACCCAAACCTAGTCCCTATTTAATGTTCAGGAATCTTAGGCATGTTTCTACGTTCCATCATTCCACAGATATGAAAAATACATAATTTAAACATGTAAAAATTCACATAAGAAATCAAATTAAAATCATGCATTTTATCAATTCATAACACAAGAACAGATATGAACCAATTTCATAAAACCTATATTCTAACCCAATTAAACATGCATAATTATTTAATTTTATGTGTTTAATAAATTCGGAATTTCCTAGGCATGTACAGAAACACGAATCAAAGGGAAAGAGATAGAAGAAGAACTTGCCTTAAACTTTCGGATTGAAAGTTAAACTTCTTCTTCCTTGATCTTCTCTCTAAAGGGTTTTCTCCTCCTTCCTTCCTATTTCTCTTTCTCTCTCTAACTCTCTCTCTCTAGAATATATTACGTGATATATTTTCACTCATTTTTCAACCTATAGTTGTGTATTTATAGACTAAATAATAACCATATTCCTTTTCCCAATCCAAGTCAACTTAATAAAGAAAAATAAAAAAAAAAATATTAAAAAGGTAACTTAAAATATGTTACATATATAATCTATGTATATCCTTATTAATTAAATAAAATATATACATTAGATTATTTAGTAATACTAAAGTTACCATAATATTAAAAGGTAACTTAAAACATGTTACGTATATAATCTATTTATATCCTCATTAAATAAATAAAAAATATACATCAGATTATTTATTTATACTAAAGTTACCATAATATTAAAAAGTAACTTAAAACATGTTACGTATATAATCTATCTGTATCCTCATTAAATAAATAAAATATATACATCAGATTATTTATTTATACTAAAGTTACCATAATATTAAAAAGGTAACTTAAAACATGTTACGTATAAAATATATGTATATCCTTATTATATAAATATATAAAATATATACATCAGATTATTTATTAATACTAAAGTTACTATAATATTAATAAATTACTTTCCTTTTTATATATATGTATATACATATATATCTATATATACACATATACAACTATCCATGGGTAATTATCCATACCCATCCAACCTCCTATCCAAGTAGTCCATGGGACCCAATTAGTTAGCTCATTACCACTAACCATAACCATAAAATAAAATAAAATAAAATATTTAATCATTTAATTTACAATTAATTAATATTAATCAAATACATTATTTAAGCACACAATCTAATTAAACAAATAATACAAATAACACCTAGACAAA